ATAAAGGCAAGAATAGGCACCGCCGCGATGACAGGGTGCATCATGATATAGACCTTTCTGTCACCAGTGTATGTGCAGAGGTAAGCATAGCCAAGGATTGACAGGGCCGAAGGAATGATGGCAGCTTTGAAGTTGGTGTACCAAGCAGAATCACGCTCGAGTCGCTGTTGCGCGACACCAGCAAGCATGCCGACAAACACAATGGCTCCATCAAGGGTGACTCTGAACATCCACTCATCGAGGTTCCACTTGATGCGGAAGACGACCTCGAGAATGGCGAAAGCCCATTGGGTGAGAGGGGTGAAGTTGAGAATGACTGTGACGATGACGAAAGAGGCAAAGATCTTGCTCGTGACGATCTTGACACTATCGTTGAAGCCGGAGCAGATGGCCATGGTGGCATAGACGACCATGAACCAGAAGCTGACAAGAGGTGCAAAGTAGTAAAACATGTAGTCAGTTCCCATGACATAAGGAAGGGCGCAGCTCAGCATGTTCAAGCGCAGCATAACACTTGCAATGCGGCGGAATGAAAAGTCCTTCTTGGAGAGGAAGTAGATGGTATGTCCGTATCCAGTCTGGAACAGGTAGGCAGCGACAAGCAATCTGATAAAGATGTAGATGGGAAGGTTCTTGATTGCACCGGTCCAGTGGTATACAAGAATGGCAGCCTGCATCCATCCCTTCCACTCTTCAGTCTGATCTCGTGAGAGGACCCCGGCATCCTCATTAATCGTCACAGTGGTAGTGGTAGGGGCGGCGGCACCCTCAGTAACTGGAAGACGAGGCGCACGGAACTTGGTTTTGCGGATGGTGAGTCCGGCAATGATGAGGCAGATTGTAATGAGGAGGTAGAACTCTTTTGGAATAAACTCCTTCATACCCTTGGAGAACAGATGGGTGCGGTCGGCAGCGAAACAGTAGAGAAGAGAGACAGCAAACATGCCAACCTTCATATCGAGCCACTTGATCTCGATGGATGAGACGAGAGTGACACCCTCGTAGCAGATGCACGCAATTACGTAGAGAGTAGCGAAGCCGAGAATGGCAATCTGGACCCATGATCGCGTGGGATAATCTGTGCAGCAAGTTCGAGTGAAGGGATATCCGTGCATTCGATCAAGCTTGGCGTTGCATCGGGCATTGAGAAGGATGTTGGCTTTGATCTCAGCGACCGTGTCAATGACGTGGAAGCCAGTCTGAGTCCTGTCGACGATAGCCTCAGGCTGATTGAGTGAGAGTTGAGGGAATGCTCGGAGGAGACGGAGGTTGTGCTCCTCTTCCTGGCTGTAAATGACCTTATCAATGTTTTCGACCTCACCCTTTTGAATACCCTTAGGGCCAGTGCGGGACTTGGGGAGTTCATTGTAGTATGGAGGTGCCACGGGGGCGAGGAAGACTTCATTGCCAATGCCTTCAACAGGGTCCATTGGTCCTGTACCCCATTTGGTGAGGTCTCCCAAATGGAGGATGTCGGTGATGTTGTCCAGGGCCACGGCGAATCGCTTGTCAGACTCGTTGCCGAAGAAGTTACCGGCGTACCAAGCACCAGCGCCCAGCATGATGAGGCCAGGATCGGAGCCATGATGCACTTCCTTTCGCTTCGCTTTCTCTTCAGCGGACTCCTTGATCTGGCCTTGCTTGTGCTTGTCCTCGCTGATTCGCTCGAGCTGTTCACGGAGAGGGTGGCCAGGTTCGGTATGGTAGAACGGGTTCCAGATGTGCAGCATTCGTACGCCATTGAAGGTTGTGTTGTAGCTTCGGTGAGGCTTGGCTTTCTTGCGACCTTCCATGGCCTTCTTACGATCCAACTAATAACCAGTCAGTAGCAGAACAATGGATGCGCAGATGCGGGCGGGCATGAGTTACCAATCGCGCGGTGCCCCAGTATATCTGTCGTGTCGTCGAGTCGCCAGAGAAGACCAAGTGGCGATCACCCATGCAATCCTTTATGTCCCGCGCCGTGTAATGATGCAGCATACATCCATCAGGCTGCCAATTCGTGAATGGCTTCCTCGCACCCGTCTCATCCGGAGCATGGATCCAGCTTCCATTCCGTTCACTCTCGCCCAGCAGCGCTCTACATCGATACGGATCATCCGAAGAATAGACATTGTGAAACGTCAACGAGCCCAGCAGGACCAGACAAAAGACGATTGGGAGAAACCTCGCCGCAAAGGCCATGGGCCGTGAAGAATCCGACATGATGTGAGAGAATGTGGTTATGCGTCGGGTGAAGGCTAGGAGCCTGCGAAGTGACGAGATGAGAAGATAAAGAGCTCTCTTGGCCGCGGAGAGGTAGGAAGAGACATTCTGGTGGCGTAGAAAGGGCTGCGTCCCTTGCTTTACCCCCTGAGACCGTTGGGGCATGATGGTATGAATGGAGGGCGCTTGGAATGAACTAACGGCATGCCTAGATTGAGTGTGTGTGTCCAAAAGCAGTTGGGAAAAAGGAGAGACAGGAGCTAAAAAGCCACGGGGGGAGAGATACAAGGTGAATCAGAAGGGGATCAGCAAAGGAGAAGGAATGAATGAAAGGCAATGGCAATGGCAGTAAACAAAAAATATGTAGAAAAAAGAAAAGAAAGAGAGACAGAGGCAGAGACAGAGTAAAACAGCCGATGGATGATTGATAGTGTAAGGGACGGAAAATGCAGTGTCACCTGTCACAACGGATTGGCCATGGACACGGAAGGCAACAAAGATATTACAGGCATTTAAACCCCTAGAAAAGAAAAGAAAAGAACCCCTCAACGGACGGAACAAGACAAGAATCCCTCCCACTTCCCATGTCCCAAGTCCCCTCATCTCTAAACTAAACTAGCTAAAGCTCATGTCAAGCTCAGTAGTCTAATCGCTAGGCTCCCTCCGGCGCAGCACGGACACGCAATAGCCAGCGCCACGCAATAAAGCACCCCTGACTACGGATAAAACCAGCAAGGGAGCACTTTTTCAGCTCTGCAAAGCCCCTGCATTCCGAAACAAGCTTTTTCCATTCCCGTGCCAATTCTCTTCTTCAGTGACAGACAAGACTAGATTAGGTTGGAAAAAGTTAATCGCGTGCGTGGCCTGTTTTTCCCCACTGATCGATTAAAAAGGAGTACTTATGCATATGGGATAATGTTAACCTTATAAATTAAAATAAAAACTCAATTAATTGGGCTTTTTGCTTCCCCTGGGGATTCGTGTTTATTGCCGGTTTGTTTGCCGCGTGTCAATTCAACCCTTGGATGGATTGTCAGGCCAGTTCATGAAAATGCGCCACGGGGGATAGCGCCACTTTTACACATTCAGTGAATGCTCTGCCCTGATCTGATCTTCAAGGACAGATATGTACTGTATAGGGGAAATGCAGCTCATGCACAATGCAGTATCTACGTGCCCCCCCGTTTCGTTTCTTTTGCGTGACGAATCTGATACAATTGTCGCACCGATCGATCTGTCATCTTGTTTTGTTTGTTGTTTTCGAGGTACACAGCGTTACACGTTTCCGTCATGATTCAACTGCCGGAGGATTAAAGCTTGACATTCAACGAGAGACTGTGATTTGGTGGTTTAGCAGTGCTTAAAAATTGGTAGGGTGACACTGAAGGGGCCCTGGAGGGAATCCCGTTTCAGGGCTCGATTGAGTGATTGATTGACCGGCCCGGGGACTGAAGCCGGCACAACTGGGGCCCCGCATCGGCGTCACCTTCCGATCGTTTGATCAGCGACCGGGACATCCAAGATCGCCAGATAAATAGAACTTGATCATGAATGAATGCCAGTAATTAACAAGAAATAAAGTAGTAATCTGCTCAAAATGTCATTCTGGATCGAGACAGAAGACTGGCATACCGCCGGCGAACCCTTCCGTATCGTCCAAACTCTCCCATCAGGCCAACTCCCAGACGGCGAGACTGTCGCTCAACGTCGCCTTGCTGTCATCAATACTCCCAATCACCCTCTTGACCAACTCCGACAATCACTATGCCATGAACCACGTATGTAAACATTCTAATGTTGTGTCGTTGTGGGAGTACTGACTGAGGTTGTAGGTGGCCATGCCGACATGTATGGTGGTTTTATAACGCCCCCGAATGATCCCGGTGCTCATTTCGGCGTCTTGTTCTGGCACAAAGATGGCTTCTCAACTGCGTGTGGACACGGGACTATAGCTCTGGGTTATTGGGCTGTCACAAAGGATATTGTTAAAGCGCCTGAAAATGGGAGTGTGGATGTCATTATTGACGTTCCTTCTGGGAGGGTTACCGCGAAGATTGCTATCAAGAACGGCAAGCCAATCCATGGCGACTTCATCAACGTCAAGAGTTACCAGATTGCCAAGGACTTATCTGTAAACCTCCCCTCAAGGGGTGTTGATGCCAAGGTCAATCTCTCATTCGGAGGAGCTGTCTATGCTACCATTGACGCTGCTCAGCTGGACCTCAAGGTTGAACCAAGCCAGTACATCAACTTCATCAACCTTGGACGCGAGATCAAAGCTTCTCTAGGCACTAGAGCACACTACGACACATATGATCTATACGGCGTCATATTCTTCAACGACGAAGGTACTGGACCAGCTGGAGAGGTACTCCAGCGCAACGTTACCGTCTTTGCAGATGGCCAGATCGATCGCTCACCATGCGGCTCAGGCACAGCTTCAAGAGTAGCAGTGCTTTTGGCGGAAGGGAAACTGGGAGCTGGAAAGTCGAAGCTTCTGCATCGATCGATTATTGATACGGTATTTGAAGCAGATATTGTTTCCGAGGAGGAAAGTCCTGTCGAGTTCCCGGCTTGCATCCCGAGGGTGAGAGGAACAGCTAATCTGGTCGGGAGAATGAACTTCTTCATTGATCCGGAGGATACAGTCTTTCCTGGATTCCTTCTGAGATAAAAAGACCTTACCAACTTAAAGAAAAAGTACTCAAAGTGGCATATTCTATCATTATTCATTAGTATATATACGCTACCATAACCCTTACCGTGCAACTTTCGTACAATTTTCCCCCAGTCATCTATGCCAAATTAAGATTTTGCGTATACGGACTCACGAATGTGTTCCAATCATTCGAATCGCTAGTAACCAAAACGGGCGAATCCTTTTGGGTATGTAAATCTCTCATGCGCCAGACTTTTAGAATCACCGCTTTTGTTCTCTCAACATTTGCTAACGTCAAGCCCACCATAGCATCAAGAGTCTCCAAGACAAGCTGTCTTCCAGATAAGAAGGTGCCTTGATCACCGTGAGCGAAAATCTTGTCGTCGTTCAAAGGATCTAGCTCCACGGCTGCGACGAACAGAGGGAACAGAAGCCCTGCCGCGCTGCCTTGTTGGATGAGATCGTGAATGCTATGAAGCACCTTGATGACGAGTTGTGAGACTTGTGGTGTCGAAGGATCTGCGTCTCGAAGCAGACAGTGAAAGTATATCTGCACCGAAGTCTTCTTTAGGTCGACACAGCGTCTGACATTCTCATCCATGGCCTCCACAACTGTGATATTGGAGCTGACTAGCGTCAACTCCCTGTCAAGCTCCTCGACTTGGGCCTCATAGTCCTCTTGAGACATATCTCGGGTTCGTGTTCTTGCAAGCTCCGTGATCTTGAAAATCACAGATGCCATGGCCGGACTACAACCCATCCATGCATCGATATCCTCCGTGTGATCCGGTCTTTGCCAATATTCCAGGCCAAAGATAGGTGAATTTCCACAAGCTGTTCTGCTGATGACATCTTGGAAAGCAAAGTATCGCTCTGAAAACGCAGCAAGACTTCCAAAGGCCGAGTTCTTGCTCGACGGAAGTGCAAGTTGCTGACGTTTCCGCATAAAGTCCTGACTTGCCCTTAAGTGAAATACCCATCGATAGTCACCATTGTCAAGAATCTCGTAGAGGCAGAGGAACATCATGGTTGCGGGGACTTGAGGATCCAGTATGACATCTGCCGTGACGTCTGGAGATCGGATTCTTTGCAGAAGACCGGTTAAGGCTTTTCCTTTCATTTTCATCGCTGTACGCGTCCATGATGGATCTGTGATGCTTCGATGTCGAGCAGAGAATGCAAGGACAGATTGGACAAGAAGATCCTGACCGGCATGGGTGAATAGAGGGGCGACCATGCTTGCAAAAGGCGATGAGAGTTGTGAAGAAGGTGTTGTGAGAGGGCATAATCGTAGGAGGTAGTATTCGAAGAGACTCGTTTCAAAGGTACTCAGTGTAGGGAATGATGATATTGAAGGTATGAGTCTTGGTGGTGATCGTGACCTCCGAATAAGTGCTGAAGACGGCTCAGTCTCATCCCTCAACTCCATAGCTTCCCTAACAAGACTCTCTTCATAATTCGGATCATGAACAAAGTCACTATAATAAGTATTGATAAAATGTCTCGGCCCAACAGCCCCAAACCCCCAAGCCTTTGGCGAATGAACCTGCGGCGGACGTCTCTGCCTCGCCCCATCCTTACACCAAACACCCTCCCGCCCAAACGAGAGCCCCTTTGCAGTAAACTCAGCCTCCCATTTCAACTGCAGCGTCGTATTGCACGATAATCCGCGGGAGACGCAGTTCCGACATGCAGGTTTAGCTTCGTCGCATTTTACCTTGCGGGACCGGCACGTCTGGCATCCTGACCTTGTTCGTCTCTGGACGGGGCCGGTTTTGCCGGGGGGACGGCGGCGCGGCATTGGGACACGGAGCAAAAGTGCCGGGGAGATGGAGGAGGATTCTTTTGCTTGTGAGAGCGAGTGGTTGATCGTCTGATGGGGAGAGTGGAAAAGCGGGGAGACGACGCTTGATGGGGCTATCACCTGATGATAGCGAATGGGCGATTAAACAGGTTTAGATCGGGCGATGGGCCAATCAGATGTACAGTGTGAAGAAGTGATTCGGCTGGACCTTCGACGACATATCTCGCTTGGACCTTCAATGGAGGCGATAGTATTGGGCATTTCCTATATCTTTCGTGGTCCGAAATGGTTATTCCCTTTCCTTAACCATTGCATCACTAGCATTGCATTCTTACCATCATCATAATGGCCTCAACTCTCACCAAACAGTCCCAGATTCTCATCGTTGGTGGTGGAACTTGGGGATGCTCAACAGCCCTTCATCTCGCTCGTCGAGGCTACACCAATGTCACCGTTCTTGATGTTAATCACATCCCATCACCCATATCAGCCGGTCATGATGTGAACAAACTTGCAGGCGGACTTGGTAAGATACAATATCACATAGCACTCGAACACTGTACTAACAGAGCAGGCACTTCTGATAGCAAAGGTGAAGATGCAGACTCCATCTGGAAAGCACTTACGTACGCCGCAGCTCAAGGATGGCTCCATGACCCCGTTTTCCAACCATTCTGCCACAATACGGGAGCTGTAATGGCTGGCTCAACACCAAAGTCTATCAAGCAATTGGTAGAAGATGAGATCGGTGACGACATCGACCAGTATACACCTCTCAACACAGCAGAGGATTTCAGAAAGACTATGCCAGAGGGTGTTCTGACAGGCGAATTTCCAGGCTGGAAGGGCTTTTACAAGCCCACGGGCTCTGGTTGGGTTCATGCTCGAAAAGCTATGAAAGCTGCTTTTGAAGAGAGCAAGAGACTTGGAGTGAAGTTCATCACTGGCTCTCCCGAAGGAAAGGTCGAGAGCCTGATCTTTGAAGATGGTGATGTTCGAGGTGCTAAGACAGCGGATGGTAAGGAGCACAGAGCGGATCGAACTATTCTTTCCGCTGGTGCTTCAGCAGAGTTCTTCCTCGATTTTGAGAACCAGATCCGCCCTACAGCATGGACTCTGGGCCATATCCAGATGACGCCAGAGGAAACGAAGCTGTACAAGAACCTGCCACCTCTTTTCAACATCAACCAGGGCTTCTTCATGGAACCTGATGAGGATCTCCATCAGCTCAAGATGTGCGATGAACATCCTGGCTACTGCAACTGGGTTGAAAAGCCAGGCTTTAAATATCCCCAGTCCATCCCCTTCGCAAAGCATCAGGTGCCAATCGAGGCTGAACGACGCCTGAAGCAGTTTCTGAAAGATATCATGCCTCAGCTTGCAGATCGTCCACTCGTTCATGCTAGAATCTGTTGGTGCGCTGATACACAGGATAGAATGTTTCTGATCACGTATCACCCACGACATCCATCGCTTGTCATTGCTTCAGGTGATTGTGGTACAGGATACAAGCATATCACGTCGATTGGCAAGTTTATCTCTGACTGTATGGAGTGTACGCTTGAGGAAAGGTTTGCAAAGTTTTGGAGATGGCGACCAGAGATGTTTACTGAGTTCTGGGGGAAGGATCCCTTGGATCGGTTTGGAGCTGATGATAAGATCATGGATCTGCCCAAGAGTGACGAGGAGGGATGGACAAATATCAAGAATTACAACTGAGTGTTTGATTGGAAAGAAGCCTGAGAATAAAAATAAATGTTCCAAAAATTCCTCCATGATGTATCCACGTGAGGATATTGACAGCATCGCGTAACAGTATCAGGATTCCTTTGGTAAGAGCATTCCCGAACATGTCCTTGAGGAAAGCCAGCAACATTCTCATATATCCGGATACCAAGATTCATGACACGTCTTCTGCTGAAGCACCAGAAAATGCTTCTTCAAAGCTGTCTTGTAACAAGATTCCACCATCCTCGGAATCTCCGCTCGAGAATACATCATAGTCTGATACGCCGTCTAGGAAGGGGACAAGTTTCCAGTAAACTTCATCATCATCTTCCTGAAGCTCCCAGCCTCCGACTTGCTTCCTCGGGCAGGATTCGTCGTGTCCATGATTGTCATCTTCGCAAAAGAACTCGAAAGAGGACAAGCAAACGCCACAGTCGAAGCAGTCAGGGTTATCCAAGCAGTCTCTACACATGTCGCATATATTTCCTCTTGTTAGCGAAGAAGAGAAGGATGCCGTATCGCTTCGTTCAGAGGCGGGCGGCCATAGCTGATCATCCCAATAGGGACAGTCGTCCCTTTGCTTATCCCAGAGCTTCTCAAAATCTTCACGACTATATCCAATGATATATCGCGCTTTACGTGGATAACATTTTCTTTCTTCCATAATATCGTAGCCGAGATAAGTGAGAACTGCATCCCAAACATCACCTTTGCCCGAAGGGCAGAAGAGATAACATGCTTCACATGTGGCACTATAAGCATAGTGCCAAGGTTTATATCCCTCGTCGTCCTCGACTTGCAAGTCAGCACCATTCTCTATAAGATATGATAAGAGTTCCATAAATTCTGGTATGCGCTGGAGCCAAATATGAGACTTAAGGAAGAGTTGATGCAGGCAGGTTTGGCCGTTTAATGTGCTATTGACGTCGTAGCCTTTCTCAACGAGTAATCGTACTTGCTGAAGTGCCTGGCGTGGTTCGGAATCATCACCAATGAAGGCATTGTTGCAAATTCTTGGAATCAAATCTTGGCTTTCATGAGGGCCAGCGCTTGAGTTGGCATAAACAAAAGGGCTTAGATCAAGCGTCCGTTTCATCAAGATGGACTTAGCCTCTGTCTAATCAAGGTCAGAAGACATAGGCATAGGCTGGAGATGAAATGCTCACATCATTATTGGTTATCCACTGAACTGCAGTCTGTTCCCCAACCTCTAAAGTCACATCAGCCCCTGCGTGTAGAAGGGCTTCATAATGACCTATTGGAACTTCTGCTGTGATGGCGAGATGGGATGGGGTTCTACTATATTAGCATTTCAAGCACTAGGCCTTATTGAGGCAAGTGTCTTACATCCAAACAGTCGTTTCTGGTCTGGAAACGATTTCATCAACATCTAACCCCTGTTCGATCAGGTATTTCAGTACCGGCAGATTCTCTACTGAGTGCTATGTGAAAGAATAATAAGCTGATGCTATGAGTGAAGACTGCAAACTCAATTACTTACATGGAGTAATGACCATCCATTTGTATCATGATCGTGAATACCAGCTTTCCCACCCTCAAGTAATCCAACGAGGTCATGGACCGAGCCGTTTCGGGCCGTGTCAAAAACAAGAGAATTTATGGGTAGAATGTTACAGACCATAACACAAGGCAGCAAGGTGCTGAAACTGTTGGCTAAAAGCTGCCCCTGATTCGCCGACAAGGTGAGCATCTTCTTTGTGCTTTTAGATGTGTAGGTGAGTTTTGCGAGGAAGTCTCTTCTGGCTTCATTTTTGGCTTTCTCATTTTCGCCTTCAGAGAATGATTTTCGACGTCTCTTAGCTGTCGTGATCGTCATGACACCGTCATTTGTTTTGAAACCTTTTCGTTTCCGTTCTGTTGAAATCAAGAACTTATTATCTGCTGGTCTCCCTAATCTTGCCGGTACTGAACAAGTAAGCGATAAAATCACATAGATCAAACAAAACATACCAGTATGATTGATGATCATCGAAGGAGAAGAGAGGATGATATTTGCCATCAGCTTTAATTCCTTTGAAACGTCTTGGCGACAATTCTGGCAGGTCCCTTCTGACTCGACAGGTTCTGCATCATTTCGGACACATTCCAGAAGATGCTCAACGTCTTTCAGAAGCTCTTCTGAATCATCAGACTCTACCACGCATGGCTTCTTCTCCAGTAGTCGCATTAAACGATTGATACTCTCATCCAATGATGTATCCGGTGAACAGTCCATCTCTTCGTCGTTCAACTCTGTCACCCTTGCTGAAGTGGATGATAAGTCCTCCTCGGGGGTGAGGGTAGCTGTATTGGTTGTTTGTAGAGCGGACATGTCTTGTTTTAGTTGTTGGAGAAGGTCAAGAATTTGAGTTGACTGAGTTGCTGTAAAAGACCCTTGCTGTACCTGAATAAGATTGAGCCGAACTGTGAGATGCTGCACATGGCCTCGAACAACGTGCCGAATCTGGTCAAGGTCTTTTTCTGAAAAAGAAAGCTTCAGCTTTGTCCAGAGGCGACCTCGTCGATCATCCGAAGTTGCCACATCCAGGGATTCCAGCCGAGAGTTTAGAGCGGAGAGGTCGTCTTTGCATCTCTTCGCTAAATTGTCCAACTGAGATTTATCGATTTCATCGATAGAAACAAAGGATACTTCATTTAACCGCTGTAAGATGCTCTTGAGCTGAGAGATCTCATCAGTCAGGAGACGGATGACCCGAGGGCCATCTTTGATGGCAGAGAGTGCCGAATGGATTGATTGGGTGACTGAAAAAGCGACGGTGATAAAGGTGAGAATGCTCGCACCAGCGCCGACAGCCTCCATTTCCTCTGGCGTTACTGGAAAGGGACTTTGAGACGAAAGATCTAGGTTGGTTGGGAGAGCGCAAGGTTGAAATAGGCTGCCCAGAGTGAAATCCCAGCTGGTCTGAGCGTTTGTAATTGTGAAATTTAGGGCGGTAAGCACAGCCTGATTTGTGACTTTTGGATGTACATCTACTGCTGCCAGCCCAGTCGGTTTCAGAAGAGCTAAGCCACCATTTACAGCTTATGGCGCAGATTCCAGCACTTCACATCCAATCATCTGAATCAGGCTGTAGCACACTCGAGCGGTGAGTCAACAGGGTGGATTCCATGAATTATGTGAATAGAACTAGCCATTTGATCTGGAATCCTCATCGGTAATTTGATAGTTTTATTGGTGTTCATTGTCGCCAGGGTGTATTCTTGGGCGCTAAACAAGCCAGCTCAGTGGTCAACTAGCTAAAGAATAACCGTGATCAATAACTGAGCTCTACTCTAATCAGTACTCTAGAGACCTCACAATACTTACTCACAGTTATGGACAGTGATTAGAAGTGAAGCTTCCAGTAATGTGACTTCTACTTGGAGATGTAGGACCTTTGTAATCGAACTTTTGTTGACACAGGCAGTCTGGGGCTCGTGAAGCCCTGATACTATACAGAACATGTTGTGAAAAAACCTTACTCAGCATGTTCCTGAAATTAGAACTGATACAAGACTAAGACGGCTATGAGGCATGTCAGAGTGACTATAAATTGCTATTTGAGGGCCAACTCGTATGCTCACTTCCAGCACAAACATCTTATGAAAAGAACTCAACTATAAGTAGCCGCAGTTGTAAAACCACTTTTAGACCACAAGAGCCAATATTTGTATCGAAAGGTTCAAGGTCTATTATCCGTGCGGTCATCGGGAGTCACTCGGGTGGGTTTATTGCGAGCCTTGGTTGCGACCAAGCCCATCGTCTCAAGCTATCGCCGACCTTGAATTCGAACCCTCTATCTTGTGGCATCTTCCACCAGATCGCCCAGACATGGCAGAGCAGGTAGTTTCTCTGAGAACGAATTCCCAAACCCAGGATGTCCAGAGAAAAAGAACAGGGGGAAGAGGGTGAGTGTAGCACGGACTAGGTTCCTTTGTCAGCAGCTTTTTGCTCTGACGGAGGGATTTCTGAGGACCTCGGGGTCCTGTAGCAAATGTCATGAATAGACGTCAGATACACAAATACATTTTAGAGTGATTAATAGCCAAGGTGGATGTGACAGCCAATTTCATTCATCAACCACAGCACACATTCTCCATCCAACATCAGGAATACAATAACGAGATCAAAATTCTACAAAGAGCGCAATTATACATAAATCACTTTGTTGGAAACACTTCTCACCCATCTCAAGCTAAAATGTGCACTAAATATACGAAAACATGTCTTGTCTGCAATTATAAGCAGTTGATTAGGTGGAGCCAATGCGACCTCTTTTCTAGTACAGAGTACTCAGTAATTGTGAATGCTCTACTCCGTATGTCTTTAATTAGTTGTGGATGTTTTCTCGACAACGTATCCCTGCTAGCAGCATTGTCACAGTGACGACCCCTGAGCTAGTCTAATTTGCCAGACCGACTCAGGAGTGGTATCAAAAAAATGCACAAATCATAAGTATGTATCTATAAATCCATTTATCATGTTCCGACCCAAACAGCCCTTTGAGGGCAAAGAAGAAATAGAGGCCCGGCTAACTGCAACAAATGACGATGGTCTGACTGTCATATCGTCACAATGCATCTCATTTGCAAAAGAACAACCTGATAATTTCATGAATTACCTGCGACATGCTTGGAAACAAGATGGACCTATCTTTCGGGAGGACAAAGACCTACTGAATGCATTACAACTTGTCGAGGTAACACGACCTGAGGGTGAGGCAGCTAGACTGGTTTCATTATATCTCCCGTTCCCAAAGTTGGTGTACTTGCGAAATCGGTATCTGCTCCCCCATGAGAGCTTCAGGCTTCTCTTGTCAGAATACGAAATAACTGCGGGCGCTGATCTTGAGTCCTGGACTGCCCTTGCGGTGGACATTGATCTTGTTCGTGAAGATGATGCGATGTTTTATATCGATCTCCTGGCAGCTGTGAAGAGCCAGAACAACAATGGAGCTGTAGAGTTTCCACGACGAGTCTTGGAACTGTACCTCCGAATTCAAGCCGCTTGTGAAATGAAAGGTGAAGAAGCTATGCAAAAATGGACGAGGTGAGAAAAGAATCAATCACATGTGATCTTTACAGCTTGCTGACGAGTATCCCTAGAGAATGGTTCAAACAAGATCCAATGCTTTTCACAGAAAAAGGATGGTTTCGATCTACTGAATGCTACTTGGAGGTTCTCGGCGACATATTCAATGTCATAACAAGCCCGATTATCCTTCCTCCTCCAAAGAGCTGGGATGTTTCTAGTTTTGAACTCGCAGCACTAGAGAAGTTCTATAGAGATATACTGCTGGTTAGCAATAGCTCTTTGGATGCAGTCTTGAAAGAGCTTGACAAGAAGCCGGATTTTCAATACTCGAAGCAACTTTATGATGTGTTGGGTAAGATATGGGGGAATCTTCCGACGAGTGATCTCGAACGGCTCAGGTACGTAGACATTCAAACAGCTATAATTATGGACTGACCAAGACGCAGAGTGTATCTCAAAACCAACCAGTGTATTATCCTCTCCGAAAACGACACAAAACGATTCTCTCTGGCCGAATGTGTCTGGGCACCAAAGCTCAACGCCCCGGGAACTTATTTGATTAATTCCCAGAGCTTCGGTTATTCTTTTCCGTAATTATGCAAGTACCAAAGACAGATATTGGCTGTATCTTTGACGAACTCGTAAATATCACCTCCTTGGAACCGAAATTTGGCCACCCAAAGGCAGACACCGCAAGAATACTACTGGTCGCTTTGAGTCGAGATATTGAGAAATATGGCCGATATCTGGATAAGGAAAAACTCCTCAAAAACGATATCTTCCCAGTCACTGGACACGACTGGGATTCTAAGCTGTGCTCTGCCTCGGCTGAATTCTACATAATGGACAACGCAAACCTCAACACTACCCTTCGCAATAAGGTTCCGGTCTTAGATATTGATTACACGACCTTTTGGCTACTACAACCCTTCTTTGTTTGGGCAGGGCTCGAAAGCCGTTATCTCAAGAACCATCTCACCATCCACACTGCGTATGATCCAGGCTCCGTTACGCCGCCATACATACATTCACTGCGAGCAAAAGCCCTGTTACGGTCGGTCCAAGTGAACAACATAAATATACCAAGCTAATACGTGCAACAGGCTCGCTGTTCACTACAAGAGTCCCCAGACACTCACTGCGTTTGGGAGAAACTTCCTAGCTCGAACCCTAGGCAGGACCAGAATACACTACCTTGGAGATAACACCATGACAACAACTCTTAGGATAAAGAGTATCGAGGACTCGAGGGTTATAGCCTCGTATCCAGATATTGTCATACTCAAAGATGATGATGGGTTGGATATTTACCTCGAGAAAAGCTCAGCCGAAGTTGTAAGAGCAGTTCAGCTCCCGGTGAGACTGGCAAAAATTCTCATGGAGGACACAAATGATAAGTCTAAAAGTATATGGCCTGTGGATCAAAGGCTGGTTGGCTTGATACGGACGATCCTTATGACGAACAACCATAATCTAGCGTCTATCAAGATGATTCTTGACGAAGAGGGCATAGTTGATGTGGACAAGCCACAAAGTTCATCATACATACCCGAAAATGAGTAAGCTCTAGAAGACCCATTCGGTTGATAATTCTAACCGGTAGCTAGGCACGGAAGACTGTCGAGACTACTCTTTGATAGGAAGCCTGATCGGCCATCTGGCAATGATTTGAGTCGTCCAGATCAAAAGCCGAAGACCACTGGAGGGAAGGAGGAGAACAACGATCTCTCTCAGCAACTGAGTTCGTTAAGCTTACAGGGGAAGCAAGATGACACAGACACGTCTTGGAGCTCAGATTCGACGAAGAAAACTCTTGTGTAGGAGGACTACAGGTGTATCACATCAAGTTGACAGTTGTAATTTCTCGATACCTAATTGTTCGTGCTTGGTGGATTCCTGTACCAGTCCAATATCCCACCCTCAACGCCGCCGCTTCCTAGCAACGTCATCGACTTCTTCAACCTCCTCCATCAGCTCGCTGTCTTTATCGAGCTTCGTCCACTTGTCCTTTCCATCAGGAATGTCAACCACTCTCTGTGTGTAGAAAATGTGGCACCTGACTTCGTTAGCCAATAACATCACTCATCTTTGACCACGTAACTTACTGTGGCTGGAAGTTCTCCCGCAACTGAGGCGTGTCCAGGTTCAAAAGCGTAGGGAATAGAAGAACCATGTTTCGTCCCTCATCCATGATCCAGCTTCCGCACTCGGCACAGCCTACTTTGCAGGGAAGAACATGTTCATTCTTCTTAGACGAAGTCTTGTAGAAGCGAAGGTTCTTGACACCGTTCTCAAAAGAGAGGTCTGTCTTTTTGAAGATAGCCGCCCATTGGAAAGGAGCACCTAAAACTCATTAGCCACAGCTCGTATAGTGTACCGTTGAGTGGAGTACCGTGAATCTTCTTGCAGTCTATGCAGTGGCAGTACTTGGACGCAAGAGGCTTGTCGCTGTTAAGCCAATACTGCACTCTACCGCAGTGGCATGAGCCATGAACTTTCTTTTCAAAGTTCTCTCGCTTCTCAGTGGCTTCATCGGGTCTTGTGTAGGGAGGTTGAGTTTCCCAATCATCATGATTGTCATGGGCGAATTCATGCTTGTGCCCTTGCATATGCTTCTCGTCGTCGTCGTCAGCGCCCATTGTGATTGATTTACAGGAGATTTCTTGGCAACAAATGAATAAAGTTGGTACCTAGATCTAAATTGAAAACGACACAAGATCTAGAATTAACAAAAATCTGGGGTTTTGTAGAAACGGTCGCGTGCCCTTGATCGACGTGGCGCACGGTTGTCGTCATAGATATATCAAGATGACAAGTCCCCATCATGACCCTCATATTTTTTTTTTTTTTTGCTTCTCCCTCGATCTGATCACTCGCTAGGACCATTTACTCCTTCGATCTATGTGATATTCAACATGTCATTGATCATCTCGGCCCACTTCCACGGCTCCCCGATCTGCGGACTGGCCTCCGTGACACTGTTGTAATACTCCCAGCCCATTACTCCTCCGATCCTCGGGTACCTGCTCACCAACTCTTTGAGACACGCGCGCAGCTTTTCTTCTTTTACGTGACCGGAGCAATTAGCTGGGTTTGTAACCAATCCGATGACGACTTTTTCCTGTGGCCAGCCGCGCGCGATTATCGTGTCGTAGTCGTGTGTTTTGCTCATGTCACCCCAGCCGCAGTAGAATTGCGTGTTGTACCACGCGATTCTCGAGCCAAGGCCCTTTTCCAGCTCTTCCAAGTTGAAGCCTCCGAGATTCTGCCTGTTAAGCAGAGCGGGTGCGACGGGCGCGAGGGTGATGAGGAAGGATTGGCCAAAGTCTGTCTTGAGGTGATCAATCAGACGGATAACGCCGCCAAGCGACATGGCCTCTTCAATATCTAGGTCTAGTCCGTCAAAGCCCGCCCACGCGATCATTTTGCGCAACGGTTGATACCATCTGTGAAAACCCTCCAGCGACCCGTCCATTTTAGTGTATGAGCCTTGAGCTGCGCCTCCGAGCATGCCGAGGACTTTTACACCGGCTGCTTGAAGTTGACGGACTTCATCCCAGAGGGGAATAAACTTGTCTGCATCATATAGATCATCGTTGAGCGTGATGCGCTCAGGCGTGTTGAGATGGATGGCCGCGACAATGACGTGGGTAACTCCGGTGGCTGGGAGAATCGTAGGTTGAAGTGAGATGTATTTATTGTCTTTGTATTGCGTCTGATGGTAAAATATGATTCTCTTATAGGGCTTCGGCTTCGAAGCAGGATCAGTTTGAGGAACGAGCATTTTGTTGGCGTAAGGCGCTTATACTTGTCGGAAGTCGCGGTGCAGCGATGGCATTTGGCGTCAGCGCTCTCCAAGTTCGGCAGTGTTGGGCGAGCCAAGCCACCAAAATTAGAGTCTCTCATTGGTCTGGCTGGACATGAGCCGGATTTAGGAGTTCTTGAGCCACGTATATTGAGTTTGATGACTTGACCTCAGGAAGCAATACAACTCCTGGCCTAAAATTAAGATAATAAAATAACTGCACTAAAGGTTTTCTAAGTTCATGCAAAGTTTCCCTAAGTCTGCTCACAATTTATTCCTAGGTTTTCTCGCCTCTCAGCTCTATTCAGTCTCAATGAATCGATCAAGTAACCGCTTTACGAAGCACACCGAGCTCCCTAAGAAGTACACTATGAGACTTGGATACATTGTCTGTATAAGTGAGTATCTCATCTGTACTTTGTATTTATCTGTACCTTAGAAGGTTATAACGCGCCCACTGCGCAACAGACATCCATACAGAGATAAAAATATCACGACTATCAAGTCATATTTCACTGGCAACACTATCGTATCTCTCGACTATCAATACAGCTAGATATTTGACGTATAGTAGATCACGTGGTAGTCTGTTGAGAACTCCGGACTTTGTCGTCCCCTTAATACACAGATACGAGACTTATTTCTGTCAGATAAGATACGCCAAATGCTTGACATGATAGTTTCTAAGGCCCTGATAAATGCCTATCTTTTACGCGAATTCCGTATTGTGGATAATCTCGGCTATGCCAACTCACAAGGACGTGTAGAAATCTTACATGACTGCCGGGTTGCCTAGTATTCCTTATCTTGTCGATCACGATATCGCCGAGGTTGGAGATCTTTGTCTAACGGTGCCATTTCAACCCAGTTTTCGACATGTTTTCCATTTCAGAGTGACGAGAGTTTCGATACATATGCATTTTTAAATCTCTCAAAATATTTCTATACCAATTCCTGCATTGCCAAAGTATATGTTGCACAATGGTCAAGGTCCAACCCCTCTCAAAGTCAACAACATTTGACGTTACATGACCCCACTATCCCCAACTCAAGTCTTGCCAGCTTCCGTATTAAGCTAATCTCTTCCGTGCCAAGACATCGTTTTCCTGTTGATTTCCCCCGAAGTCATGCTTAAATCTATGCTAGTTCTCTGATGCCTGACGATCTTTTGATTCTGAGGGGAAATTGAGCGCGGAAGCAAGAAGTAGAGCCGTACGTAATGAGCTACCTCTTTGGGACCTTGCGGGCTATAAAAGCACGCATTTCCCTCGTCGATCAACTTTCTCTAGAGGTATCCAGCTTTTTGATCTCCAAGATGTTGGGACAAACAATCTTGGTTGGCCTTACGGCTGCATCTGCTGTCAATGCCTTTCAATATGGTTACAACAACGTAACCGTCCGGAAAGATATTCCCTTGGTAGCAGCGAATTTCAAGGATGTCGATATCGATCTGTACTCGCCGGCATTCCTCGACCCTGAGAGTCGACAGGCAGGTTTTAAGAATGGAACTCAAGGGCCAACCTCTCACGAAGATATGGGTATGCATAAATCGGAGCACTCCGATGAACCCACGCTAACGATGTACAGAGGCTTATATGGAAAGCATTGCTGCAAAGAATGACTATATGACCTATCAAACCGCAAACTTTACATCTGAGGAACTGAGATCATTCCCATTTCTAAAGCTCTCATCATCAAAGGGTCCAAAGACTTCAGACAAGGTCCGAGTTTGGGTTCAAGGCGCCGTGCACGGCAATGAGCCAGCCGGTGATCAATCCCTCCTCGCCCTCCTCGGCAAATTCGACAAAGACCCTAAATGGGCCTCCAAGATTCTTAAGAACCTCGATATTGTCATTTTGCCCCGGTATAACCCTGACGGCGTCTACTACTTCCAGCGCGTGCTCGCTACGAATTTCGATCCAAACCGCGATCATACTAAGCTTGCACGACAGCAGACTCGTGATATCAAGCAGCTTTTCAACGAGTTTGCTCCGCATGTTGCCATTGATATGCATGAGTATGGTTCATCAAGTCGATACGGTAACTACGTTCAAGCCTCTGATGGTTTGTTCTCTGCTGCGAAAAACCTGAATATCAACAAGAATATTCGAGAACTGTCTGAGAAGCTGTTTGCCAAGAACATTGGTGATGCTATGGTCAAGGCTGGGTTGAGATGGGAGCCATATGTGACTGGTAGAACCAGCACTGATCCTGATTACGTGCCCAAGTTAGTCTTATGATTTCGCTTTACGTTCCTGTCAGCTGACTTGATATAGATTCGATGAAGCTGGCTCTGATGCCAAGATTGGTCGTAATGCAATGGGTCTCACCCAATCCATCACATTCCTCATCGAGACGCGAGGAATCGGTCTAGCCGATCAAGAATTCCAACGTCGAACTGCTGCTGGCTTGACCATGGCTAGCTCCATCATCGAAACTGCTTCCAACAACGCCCAGAAGGTCTTCAAGACCGTTGAGGGCGGTATCAAGGATTTCATCAAGTCCAAGGAACCCATTGTCATCACCGACTCGACAAAGTACAGCACGCGAATGTTTCAGATGATCGACTACACCAACGGCTCAATCGTCAAAGTCCCTGTTCAGTTCGCTTCTACTACACCAACAACCGCGAACCTGACTCGCTCTCGGCCAGAATCATACCTTATCCCTGTTGCTTGGGCCGATGTCACCAAGCGTCTCGAAGTTTCTGGCCTTGAAGTTGAGACTCTTAGTAAGCCCTGGAGTGGTACAGTTGAAGCACTGAATGTTACATCTTCAGAGCTCAGCAGTTCGTACTACGAGGGAGCTGTACTTGCTACTGTTGCAACTGAAGCCAAGAAGCGACAGCTTACTTTGCCGGCGGGCAGCTTTCTGGTCAGCACGAGTCAGAAGAACGCTGCACTGGCTTTTAATGCGTTGGAGCCCGAGAATATTGATTCTTATGCTAGTTTCAACATTATTCCTCTTGAGGTTGGAGATGAGTATCCTATCTTTAGGGTTATTAAGGGTTAGGAAAGGATTTAGGTCCGACAGATTCTACTGGCAGTGGATTCTTTTTTTGATAAACTGATACATAGCTTTTACAGATATAAAATCAAATATAAAGATCACATATTAAGTACTTCTCTGAGTTCTATAATCACGTTGAAAGTACTATAATTCTCAAAATCAGTATTCTATGAACTATAATTGTCCCGAGTATATCGTTATCGTTCCTTGCCCCCTCATCCTTCAAGCCAAATGGAAATTCTGACTTGAAGTATATTATTAGGTTCCCTCTTCCCAACTCCCATCAACAGATATCCATTTCGCGGAGTACTGGGACGGCATTCGGTATCTTTTGCCGACCCCGTATCTAGCCTCGACTACCCTCCACCAAGCCAAAATACTACTATTCCATTTTCAGAAGGCCGATGGAGACAATGCTGCCGTGCGACAGCTGTAAGGTCATTTATCAACAGTTATCATGAACTTTCGTGTCATTGGATACGTCTCCTCACTTTTGTTTCCTCTTTGGGATGTAGCTATCTCGTAGACGATAGCTAAGTACGGAGAGCGGCTTATACATATCAGCCGATATCGCCAACTTGATATTCCCAACTCATTCACATAACTTCTGTGCTTTTAAATTCACAATGAGGCTTCTTACCTGGCAGACGGCGTATACGATTGCAAGGACATCCATTCGCAGCAAGACACCACTATCCAGGTTTAGCAGTGCTGGTGTTTCAACACTTCACGCCAAGATCAACAGCCCGCCTCCGAGGATCGTCAAAAGTCAAGGATGTTGGTTGGAAACAGATCAAGGTCGTCGAATTTTGGATGCATCTTCAGGTGCAGCTGTAGTATCCATCGGACATAATGAATCGCGAGTCAAGGATGCCATTGCTGCTCAGCTGGATCAGGTAGCATACTGTTACAACCCGTTCTTCACGACGGAGGCAGCAGAGAAGATTTCTAGTTTCTTGACTGAATCTACCGATGGGGCTATGTCCAAGGTTTTTATCGTTAGTTCAGGTACGATTTATCCTGATATCATGTGTTGCGGCAGTCTCTAACAAGGATCCTAGGCACTGAAGCTGTTGAAGCAGCTCTAAAAATTGCCCGTCAATACTTTACAGAGTTAGCAACACCACAGCCATCCAGGACGAATTTTATTGCTCGAAAGCAATCGTATCATGGAAACACGATGGGATCTTTGGCAGTAGGAGGCCACAAAGCTCGACGAGGCGTGTACGAACCCATTCTTGCAACAAATGTCTCCCATGTCTCTCCATGCTATCCTTATCGAGAAATGAAGGCAGGCGAGACAGAGCAGCAATATGTTCAACGCTTAGCCAAAGAGCTAGATGACGAATTCCAACGTGTTGGCCCTGATACTGTTTGTGCATTCATCGCTGAAACAGTATCTGGAACATCATTAGGCTGTGCACCTCCAGTGCCTGGGTACTTCAAAGCCATCAAAGAAGTATGCGATCGCCACGGCGCTCTTCTGATTATGGACGAAGTCATGTCTGGGATGGGCAGAACAGGCACACTACATGCTTGGGAGCCGGAGGGTGTAGTGCCAGATCTACAGACTGTAGCTAAAGGACTGGGAGCTGGCTACATGCCCGTGGGGGCCTTGCTTGTCGGCAATAAAGTTGCAGACACTCTTGCTAACGGATCAGGAGCTTTCTCTCACAGTCAAACTTACCAAGGTCATCCTGTTGCATGTGCAGCTGCGTATGCTGTGCAGACTGTTATGAAGGAAGATAATATGCTGCAGAATGTGCAAAATATGGGTAAAGTACTGGGCGAGAAGCTCAAAGAGAGGCTAGGAGGTCACAAGAATGTGGGAGATGTCCGTGGGCGAGGACTGTATTGGGGTGTAAGTTGAAGTATCACTACAGAAACACTTTGCTAACTATGACCAGTTGGAATTCGTTCAGGATAAAGAGACAAAGGAGCCGTTTGATCTGAGCGAACAGATTGCTGGAAAGCTGCACAAGGCTGGCCTAAAAGCCGACCATGGCATTTCACTTATTCCGAGTACCGGTTGCCTCGATGGTGTTCGCGGAGACATGGTGATCGTCTCACCTCCTTTTACAATCACGAAGGATGAGGTCGATTTGCTAGTTGACAAGGTCGAGAAAGTTGTTATTTCTGTCCTAGGAGAATAGATCATTCCATTGCATTACAAAGCTATTCACCAAATAATCACATTATAAAAGCCTGCGTCGGCCCACCAAGCAAACTCGTCCATCGAATCGAAGACTGCGACGCCCAAATCTCCTTAACCTGATCAATAGCCCTCAACAAATTCCAACACCCAGTCGTATTATGCAACTTGACCAACTTATCCAAAAAGAACTCTCTATGATCTGGCGTCGAGCTCTCAGCCGCTACGATGAAATACGGCCAGGCTAGGAGGTGTCTTCCCACGATATCGACGTAAGCGTCGACTTGGCCGAGTGATTGTTTGAATCTTTCTATCATGGGGACGGTTTCGGAGGGTGGTGGGTTGAAAATGGCGCGTTGGACGTAGATGTCGCAGGCCCATGTTGTTAGGGAGGCGAGTTGGGAGAGGAGGTCTTTTAGTTCGGGGTGGAAACGGTCGCACCATGTGATGAACTCGAGACAAGCCTGTTGCTGAGCTTGGATGAAGTGAACGCCGTTGGTTTCGTTGAATAGAGATTCTCCAAAGAGACAGACCCTATAGTCGTGTTAGAGAGCTTGCTATCGAATGAGATTCTTAAAACATACCTCAGTATCTGCATCTGTAGAAACCTTCTGAGATCAGAGGTTCCTTCACCCGCATTCTTCGCAAGTGCGTTGACCACCACCCGCAGCGAACCATAGATAAGTCTAAAGTTATCGCTTCCACTAATCATCTCCCGAATATGTAGTAGGAGCAACGCAGTGAGTGCAGAATCATCATCTTGAGGTGCACACTGATGAGACCGCATGATGAGCTCTCGTACAAGAGATCCATAAGCCGCTGGATCTAGTGATATTGCAGTGCCGTTTTGTAAAGAAAGATGCTGTTCGACAACGAGAAGAACTGCTTTTCGAACTAGAGGATCTGTCTCTGCTCTTGGTAGTACGAGATCACGATAGCCGTTGAAGCCCATGTTTATGACTGCAATGAGTTGGGCGATGTTATTTGAGACTACGGATGTTAGATGGTTTCGAGGAGGGTGAAGGAATACTTACAGTAACCAAGACAGAACCTTGACTTTGGATCAACGTGATCTAGGCCCCAGTCGATAGATATTGGTGCGTTATTTGACACAACCAAGTCTTGTATCTCATGTTCTTCCTCCGTTACAGTATCAATTTCAACTGCGTGTTGCTCAGCAGTCTCATAGCCACTTGCACGAAAAGGATCATTCTGTCTCTTGCAACTCGAGACCGACGTTGACGCCGTTTCCGTAGGATTGGCTTCTACCCCATCAATGATAGGCAATGATTTGCCAACAAACTTTCCACGGGCGGCGATGCCATCATTGAAGCGATATCGTAGACCTAGTCCACTGCACTTGATGCCTTTGGCCGAGCATTTGCCACATGTTGGCTCTCTCCGGTCACAGTCTATGCGCCGACGAGAGCATTGATAGCATCCTGACAATTACGTTAGTCTTAACTGGCCGAGTTACTGTGGATAATTGATATACTTACCTCTGACTTTGGGCCTCTTCTTTACTTTGTCCGACTTCGGATGCGTTGCGGAGGGCATTGAGTTAGGTTCCGGATATGGCGGGGACACGGTGCTCTACGTGCGTCGCGGGTGTATCGCTGATGTTGCGCCTTGTAGTCTAAAGAGAATAGTACGCCACAGTATCTTGTTAACTTATAATGGGATTGTGATGAGTGTGAGAAAGCAATTGATGAAGAAGTCTGGTATCGCAATCAGCAAATTGTCGTTATCGCGTCAAGATACCAACGAGATGCTATTTCGAGTTAGTCCATGTCGTTCGCCCTGGCGTACAGGGCGGGGTAAGCTATCCCCTTGTAGGAAATTCGACACGAACATCGAATCGCCGTTGATAGGTTAGACTAGGCATTGAGAATTGATAAGTATCAAGTTTTTATATCAGTCAATTGACTTGGCTAAGGTTTCATCAAACGAGTCCTGGAACGATAACTATTTGGGTGGTTTTGGCAAGACACCACCCATCATCAAGGTAAAAAGAAAAGTCAGAATCACCAAGTCTTCCTGTTGAAAATAAGAGATTGCTATGTCTACAAAGTCTCTGGGAAGTAGGAACACATGAAGATGGGAAACATAAGAGGTGACTCAAACAGATTCTCTTTCAAGATTTATAGTAAGAGGCATGTATGGTTGGTAATATCTAACTGTTGATTTCTCGAGAAGGATAACGCAGAATCAAGAATCACAAAAGCTTTACGAGCTGGCGTTCATGAGAAGCGAAAAGCTTCACCATACACTAAATGCCAGTGTATGTGAGCTAGCATAGTCTATAGAATAACAGCTAGGATATAAGCTGGTTGGGGAATCTCAGATTTGCCATTCTATCACTTAGATCTCGCTATTATGGTTTCATGGACCTCCTCGCCACCCAAAACTGCGCATTATACGCACTCTTCGTCAAAGCCTTATTGTTAAACCCATAAACAGCCTCCATACTTCTTAGCGTCCTCCCCTCAAACGTCAACGGCCCACAACTCTCATCCGTATCAAGATACTCAAACCCCATCGCCTCAGTGACCTGCACAATCTCCTCCAACGTCAACTGCACAAACGGTCCAGTTCCGTAAAGCAATGGTCCAAGATTCACCCAGTGCCCACCCGGTTTCAGAACCTTTTTGATGGTGTCGAGATAGCTCATCAAGTTGCGGGCTGTGTCGATGAAAAAGTATGTTACTATTATGTCGTAGTAGTGGGTTTTGTCGTTGAAGACGGTGGTGAAGTCGCCTTCGGTGAGGACTACGGATGTTGAGTTGAGGGATGTGTCGGGGAAGGTGAGTTCGCGAATCATGTCGGATTCTGTGGCGTGGTGGGACCAGCCGTCGATGAAGGGGTGGAGTGAGTGGGTGTTTTGAGCGCGGTTGGCTTCAATGAAGCGGTAGGCGATGTTCATGTACATGGACCATTCGTTCACAGTCACCTCGAATCCTGGTCATTGTTAGTACTGAACTGTTGTAACGCTATGTTCTTCAAGCGACTCTTACCTCCAAGTCTTGCGATGTCATGTCCGAGTCGACCCAATCCCGATCCTGGGACAAGAATCTTGACCGGATTCTCATCATCTCTCACAGGAAACAGTCCCTGGAGCGTTTTCATGAGACAAGTGAAAGTTTCCTTCCTCTCAGACTCTCCCTCTTCTGTCCAGTCTCGAACATAATGCTTCAAAGCTTGAGATACGGAAATCTTATCCACAAGCCTCCCTGCAGACTGTGCAGCACTCATATGCCTTTGAAGCTCTTCCTCATCGATGCCGTAAAATTTCATGGCATTTTGAACTATGGCATCACAGAGCTCTTGGTTCTTCTTCAAAAGAGCGTCTATGCGGGCGAACTTTTTGGAGTAGTTGACTTGATGCTCTAGTAACTTTGTTCATGTTAGGCTTCGAAAGCACACGTGAGCATGACAGACTTACAGATCTTTGAGCTCGAGAAGCATGCTTATAAAGACCCTCAAAGCGGTCAAGTTCGGCTTTCTGACGCTCATGGTATCTCCTGTATCCATACAATGCATCGAGCAGCCGATGTCTTGGATGTTGAGCGTTCCAAACCCCCCATCCTATCGCCATGCTCTTATCCAGCTTCTTTTTAGCTTCGACATGACGAGGGGTATCAGGGTTACATGAGAACTGCTCTAGTGAAGTGACAACAGACCCGGACTGTGATTCACGGGTTAGCTGGGGGAAAGTGGTTGTTGTCGCGGTGAGCATTCTCTTGCGTAGTTTGTATGCAGCGACGAGGAGGAATAGCAGGAGACAGACCAGGTTGGGGATGGAGGCGAGATCAGGGTTGTTTTTTTCCAAGGCGTCTACCTTGATGTTCTCGTCTGCAGCTGTGCATAACGGTCCGAACAGGAGGGTGAGCACCAAGTGTGGCTTCATGGTGAAGTGCAGTGCAAAGGAGGGGTTTGAAGGAAATGATGTGCATTCACGTTGGATGAAGAGGTTATCAAGGTTATGGTTGGTCACAACAGCACATACTCGTCACAATTAAGGTACCTACCAGCCCGTTTTACAGACTTTTTTATTCCCGTTGTCGAGGAATAAAAAATAAGAGTTGCCTGATTCGTTTTCTTGGCCGATGAGCACTGCAGACTCAGAGTGGATACGATAATTAGTGGTCGTTGGTGGGGTCGGCCAGGGGATCCAGTTTTTAAGGTGAGGACCTTGATGGGCATTGCCAAGAGAAGCCTCACGATGAGCGACAGGGACTAAACATCAACGACAGGGACTCGAGGGTCTTTTTGATCGCGATCCTTTAGGCTATAGAGACGTTTTATTTACTGGTGTAAGCAATGTGACTGGTTGTGATCTCCATTTGAGGGTCATGAGTACCTGAATGGCATCCCTCCACTGACCTGCACTTACACGAGGGTGTTGGATGCGGATGCATCTTGACAGACGGTGACCAACGGCTCAACCGTCATCTCAAAGCCCAGCTGAACAGTCCAGTCGAGGGAAATACTCCCCAGCAGTGTCTATAGAGCTCGTAATAGCCCCCACGCGCTGACAATGGATCTCCCAATGCGTCCATTATTCCCTCCCCGACAGCCCGTTCCTTGCTAGTCCAACACTTGCATCCTATGAACCTCGCAAGTGGCAAGGCAATTCTCTTGGCAGAGCCTGTGAATCACTCTCACTCTCGTTGCAAGGGATATAAAAATTTCCTCTCCCACCTGGATCTCACCTAACCATCCTCTCGCTCACAACATCTCTCACTCTCAACATCTACATCTCTCACAAGCATCAAGATGAAGACCACCACTTTCGCCGTCGCCCTTCTCGGCTTCTTCCCTGCCATTATGGCTCAGGCTCCCTCGCCTACTGAGTCTGTTGGTTGTGAACCTCATGGTGATCACTGGCACTGCGAGGCTGCTCGTACCGATGCTGTTGCTGCTACCTCTGAGGCTGAGCATGATCACGACCACACTGATGCTACTGGCACCGGTTCTCTTGCTGCTTCGCCTACCGAGTCTGTCGGCTGCGAGCCTCACGGAGACCACTGTATGTTCCTCACTTCCTCATTTGTAACCGTTTATTGACATATCTAGGGCACTGCGAGGGCGCTCGATCTACCCTTGCGATTGAGGCCAAGGCCACCGAGTCTGAGCATGATCATGATCACACTGATGCTACTGGCACTGGTTCTCTTGCTCCCTCTCCTACTGAATCTACTGGCTGTGAACCCCATGGCGACCACTGGCACTGCGAGGCTGCCCGCACCGGTATTGAGGCCAAGGCAACTGAGTCCGAGCATGATCACGACCACACTGACGCCACGGGCTCTGGCTCTCTCGCCCCCTCTCCTACCGAGTCCATTGGGTGCGAACCCCACGGCGACCACTGTATGTTTCTCCTCACCACGATCTTGCAATCAGTTACTAACTATCCCAGGGCACTGCGATGGTCCCGCTACCGCTGCTGCAGACAGCACTCCTACTTCCAGCAACTCAGCTGCTGTCACCGACAACGCTGCCATTGGTCAGATGATTCCTCTGGCTGGTATTGTCGCCGCTGCTGTTTTCGCTCTTTGAATCGTGAGGTTGAGAATGGATGGTCTGGGGATATTGGTGTCGAACCCTGGATTGATGCAGTGGAGGATAGAAAGACACGCACTTTCATGTAAACTTTGCTTGAAGGACCAGGAACGTTTTGACTACTGGTCTAAAGATGGAACGTAGATAAGTTCATTAATCACGACTTTTACTTGACCTTGCTTTGAAGTTGCTGTGTTGTGAATAAGTGTTGGCTGTCTTGCATGACTGGTTTCTTCAAATGAAGAAGAGGCAGTCCGATCCTGCACATGTCCTCTATAAATGCATGCAGAGTTGTTCCACTGCCCATTCCCGTAATAAATACCACAAGCCTTCTGAGGATGTTGGCGTAATTGACAGCTGAGCCTCACTCAAACCTAACCTCCACGTTAACCTTCACCCTCACCTTCACACTCACGTCACACGTCAAAACAACCTCGTCAATAGCGTAGCACCCAAAATTACCCATAAAGATAACCTTGTTTTTCCCTACCCCTGCTCTGCATGTCCAAAATTCCCCCGAGAAACCGATCACATCACATCAAAAATCTCTCAGCTCCAGCTCCAGCTCCAGCAAAAACACAAGTTCACCGGGGGCTTGGCTCCACGCCCATCAAGGTTCTCAACCCACCACCACCGCCGCCGAACATCACTGCAACTTGGCCGTGGGGAATAAACACCGCGGTCTTTTGGGTAAATGGCAAAATCTCTGCTAGCGAGTAACCTTGTTTGCAAGCTTACCTGTCTGCGGTATCAAATCGGATCTTTGGCTTTCAACGGTGCAGTCTTGGTTTTCGGCAGGAGGATCCACGGTCTGGCCGATTGCCACTTTTTTTCCTGGTGTCGGGTCTCTATCGTCATGTCTCTTCTGTAAAAGGTTTCTCGTAGACATCCAGGTCATCCCAATGTTCGCCCCACGGTCTTTTTTGTTCGCTGCCAAGAGTTCTGTTGGAGTTTTACTGACAAAGAGAGGACCTTGATGTTCACCCAATCCCCCACGCTAAGTGAGGTCGCCTTTCCCAGTAGCTATACATAATAAGCTTAAACGTCCAGAGTTTATTCTTTTCCTCAGCATCATTCAAACTCGTATGCAAATCTCCATCATGGCTCGTGTCAAGAGTTTCTTCGAGAGCCGTCGTGCCACTATGATCGCTGGGTCTCTCCTCTTCGTCGTCGCTGTCTCTGCGACTGCGAACCCAGGGGCTGTCAAGAGACAGGCATCTGCCACTGCGACCAAGACTGGTATCGACTTTGAGAGCTTGACTAGCTGTCATATGCATGGTCCTACTCAGTACGTGCCTCCTTTATCGCTGTCACAAGATATACTGACGATTCAGGTTCTGTATGGATGGCTCGGACGAGTATCAGATCGTTCTCGAGGCAACCATGACGAAGGAGCCTCCTACTTCGTACACAGACTGCCACAGCCATGGTTCAGACACGTATGTTCCCTTTTCTTAGCATTCTGGCGCCGCTAATGGAACTGGTCAGATACTGCATGAATCCCAACGGCGGAGAAGTCCAGGTCCTCGTGGAAGGTGCTACAGCCACTTCCAACACCGCCAAAGAAACTGCTGCCGCGAAGGAGAATGAGATCACTGCCGTGTCAAAATGCCACATGCACGAGGCTTCTCTGTAAGTTCGCTCTTCCACTATTGATAGACCATCCGCGCCTAACAAGACCAGCTACTGCATGGGCCCCAGCTCATCAGAGTACTATGTCCAAACTACCATCACCAACACCGAGGAGTATCCCGCCCAACTCACGAGCTGCCACAGCCATGGCGAAGAAACGTATGCTCCTCTCCCATCACAGCCAATTCCCACTTACAATTTTAGTTACTGCATGTCCGACGACGGCGAAGCTCCCATCATCCTAGCTGCAGATGTCGAATCCGGCAAAGCAGACCCTCAAGAAGAACATTGCCATTTCCACGCTGGCGTCGAGTCTGTAACCCCTTCATCCCCTCGAGAACTTGACTAACACGCGACAGGCACTGCGTCGGCGGTAGCAATGGCTCCGAAGAGGGTGGTACGCGAGACTGCGGTCGCAAAGATAGAGACTACAAGATCGGCATTCGCATAGGAATGTTGTTCGTCGTTCTGGTCGCCAGTGCCGTTGGTGTCTTCGGACCGATCCTCATGTCGACCTTTGTCCCCGTTAGATCCAACATCGTCCTCACGATTCTCAAGCAATTCGGTACTGGAGTTATTATCTCGACTGCCTTTGTTCACGTACGTTTACCCTCTCCCGTTCAAGACAATGGCTTACCGTTGTAGTTGTTTACCCATGCGTCTATGATGTTTGGTAACGAATGTGTGGGCGAGCTACTTTACGAAGCTACCACTGCTGCTATCGTCATGGCTGGTCTCTTCATTTCGTTCCTTATCGAGTTCTGTGTTCAGCGTGCTATGCGATGGCAATTGACCAAGAAGACCGAGTCCGACCCGGATAACTTGTCACCTAAGGCTGTGGCAAAAGCCGAGATGGCCAACATTACCATCATGGAGGCTGGTATCATCTTCCACTCGATCCGTAAGTCCGTCTCCCTTGTCAGATACCTCAACTAACGTCTTCAGTCATCGGTATCACCCTTGTTGTAGCCGGAGACTCCTTCTTCATCACGCTGTCCATTGTCATCATCTTCCACCAACTCTTTGAAGGTATCGCCCTTGGTACACGAATCGCCTCTCTGGGTTATGGTCAAATGCCCCTTGCTCTGGGTCACTCCCATTCGCACTCTACACCATCCCCAACCATCGAACGAACCGGAACATCTGCTGTCCCTCTGTGGAAGAAGCTCGTCCTTGCTTCTGGCTTCGCCGTTGTTACCCCCATCGGCATGGCCATTGGTATTGGTGTTCTGAACGTCTTCAACGGAAACAACCCTGCTACCTTGATCGCTATTGGTACTCTGGATGCTTTCTCAGCTGGTATCCTCGTCTGGGTTGGTCTGGTTGAGATGTGGGCTCAGGACTGGATGCTAGGAGGTGAACTCACCGATGCTGGCACCCTTACTACGGTCTTGGCTCTTCTTGGTTTGGTTTGTGGCATGGTTCTCATGAGCTTGCTTGGAAAGTGGGCTTAAACGGTCGGTCGTTAAAATGCATGGAGAGCGCGATGCGACGCCAGTGACGTCCATCGCAGCAGTTAAGAAGATCACTCATCAGAGATATAGACACAAGCAGCATACAGAAACAGTATACAGCAAACAGTTCTCTTGAATACTTTGTCACTCCATGGGAGCTTCGTGACTCAAAGGTGCTGTACTGAATGGCTTCAATTGCACCCAATCCGCAGCGCCTTATACTCGGCCGTAATCACTCTCATCCCCCATTATCCCAAGCTCAACCTTCTCTCTAGTCTCTCTTTGCGCGCGCAGCTTGGATCTTCTTGGTCAACCCTCCGATGCCAAAGAAGATACCAATAACCGTCTCATTCACCCAATTAGGCAAACACGACAGAATCCAAGTCTTGGTCGCCATGCCCCCTGCGTAAAACCAATCAGGCGTACCCCCAATCAACCCGCCCAGATATCCCTCACCCTTCAACGCAGCAGTCACCAACTTCTCCGCATACCTCTCCGTCGGCATCGTCGCCGTGCGCTGACTAAACGTCAATCGCCTCTGGAAAAAGTCATTGATGGGCATGTACAGAGAGTTGGGCGGCAGAGATCGATGCGTCCGGCTGGCGATGTTGGAACGCACTGTGCCGGTGACGGCGACCATGACGCGCACGTTGAAAGGCTTGAGTTCAAGACGCAGCGCGCGGGACCAGACGTTGATGGCGCCCTTGGTGGAGGAGTAGATGGCGCCGAAGATGTAAGGGACGAGCGTGGATGTGCTGGAGATGTTGATGATGAGACCACGGGCTTCGATGAGGAGAGGCGCAAATGTTGAGACCATCTGGATGGGTCCGAAGACGTTGACCTCGTATGTTTGGCGAACATCGTCGAGATCTGTGTCAATGGAGGGGATGGTGTGAGTTCGGCCACTGGAGAAGTCAGTTTGCGCGATATACTGAGTGAGCTGAGGGGTGAAATTACGCATTGTTGACGAGAATGTCAAGACGGCCGCCTGTGAGTTCGGAGACCTTTTCTTTGCACTCTTCAATGCTCTTGGCGGAGGTGATCTCAAGAGGCAAGACACTGACGCCGGGCTTTTCAAGGTCCTTGATCATGTCTGTGTTTCGCACCGTCGCAATGACATGGCAGCCTGTAAGAATGAGTTAGTACTCAATTGACATGTCCACAATGATTCAACTCACCCTGACGATGAAACTCATTAACAAGAGAATGGCCGATACCTCCAGGCGAGCATCTACCCTCATCAGCTTCAATCCTTAACAAATCTAGAGATCAATGGCTTTACCCAGTGATAAGAACGTAAGTTTTTCTTTCGGCCATTTTTGCTGACAAGTTTCCCAAATCTGACAGAAGATGTAAGTTGATTCGTTGAGAGTGAGCACTACAGTAATCGTGGTGTTGAAGCTTGCGATTGAGGTCTATCGAAGCTCTTAAAGTAAAGTGAAAACATGTGAAATTGGTCCGAGCTGTTTCCCCATCTTCCATCTCATGCCGAGACCCGCTGTGGATCACGATTTGGGACGTTTTAGCCATTGAGGATTGACGTGTTCGCTGCCCGCGGGCTTGCGTTAAGAGTTGAGAGTGTCACTATACGATTATCAAGTGCGAATGCGAGTGTCTATCTTAGTCTAACGATTTGAGTCAAGCAATAACTCAGTCTTAAGGGCTCTTATTAATTCCCCGTGAGTTATAACCATCTTTGGTTGATGGTAGAGTTCTTGGTCTATGAAGCGGGGAAAATGTTGCCTCGTATACACCTACAAATGCTACCCTGTACTTTGCAATACTGAGCAAGAGTGCGCATAGTTTATGAGCCTTTGATGCAAGTAGACTGAACATGAATTACACATACAACTTTAGCGAACTTCTCTTCAAACTTGTAGAAGTGACCTCAGTGTCTTTGATAATAGAAGCTGGAACTACCTTCAAGCTCAAGATGAAGCTCTCAATGCCAACTTTGTGGGATCTTATGAAGGATCATCGATGGGATGCAGACAAACGGCAACGGAACAACCTGGGAGCAGCCGAGGTATGAAGGATCAGATCGCATGGCCAGGGTGAAGCATTGGATTTGAGTAACACCCGGATTGCGTAGTCGACAGTCTCAGTGATATGTGCATATAAACACCAGTCCAGCTTGCTGCCCAGGGAAACAGTAGATCTTGTAAAAATCTCCATCACCAGACGGGCGCTTTCTCGGACTTGTCGGATTCGAGACCCTCTGAATATTTCGCCAGAAAACTTTAATGCTAATTGATGCCAAAATGGAGACTTCCAGCTCAACCTTGTAATGCGATGACAGCAAAAGGATGAACGCAGACCAAATGCCGACTTGGAGCCGCATCTTGTTAATACAACACCGGAATGAACGGACACGGCAAGATATCATTTGAAGAGAATGGACTTCGCTTCGCATTTCTCCAGTCGGCATCAACAAGCTTTACCTGGATTGTGAGAATCTTCATTTAACGCCTGCACTACAACCTGAAGCATGTTGGCCTCAAACCTTATCGCGCAAGAAAGGAGGCAGACCTGGGGGCCAGACCTTGAGCCCCGAGTTGACAGGTGCATACTGAGTGCCTTTCAGATGAGCGACGACTACGTTTCAAAGACAGATGCAAATAAGAATGGACGGTTCGCTACCATTACAGGCTAGAAATGGTCATGTGAGGTGAGATAAGAAGACACGGGTAGTTCTGAGGCAGTATAGTCTTCACGGCGAGAGAGAATCTTTTATCGGAGGATGCCTCTAACTGAACGTTGACTGCAACAGGAACCACCGCAATTGTGAACAATTCGAATAATTACTTCATAAAAGAACAAAACCTGATGAAATCGTCAAATATTTACGCTAAATGGCAACCGATATGATACATCCATCCTGTACCGTCCAAACTCCACGAGGCTATAACCTCATCCATACCCATCCCATCCAGAACCATTATTCCTTCATTCTTTTATAAACCATTAATCCCTCCATCCCGATGATATTGACGAGTGCGAAGAACTCAAACGTGATCTATTATTTGCCCGCGGATCAACAGGCGTAGAATCCATCTCAACCGCTGTACCTGTACCATCCATCTCATAAACAGGCGCTGGCTCAGGCGGTAGCTCCACCGGCCCAGGAGGCTTGTAGAACTCAGCATTGGGATCCGGTGTTCCCATTGCTTGCTGCGGCGAACCCGCTGCTGACCACGCTGGTTTCGGTTCTGTAGGTTGGTACGGCGAACCGTCGCGGTTCTCGTAGTTGGGCAGCATGGGGTGCGATTCTTCAGCGTTCTTCCTGCGGCGCTGCATCCAGAACCACACGAGGAGACCTACAACCGCTGCACCACCAACTGCTGCGCCAACGGCTACTCCCGCTGTGGCGCCCGTTGACAAGCCCGTATCCTCCTCGTTGTTCTCAGGGCTCGTCGTAGTGGCAGCAGCAGCTGTGTCTTTCGTCGTACTCGCCGAATCGGTCGCCGTCGCGGAAGAAGTCGAAGAGGTAGCCGCACCAGTAGTCGTACTCGCACTCGCACCCTTCTCCGCCGCCTCCTCAAACTCCTTCTTGGTGACCTTCATCGGCGTCTGCGAATTGGAGCACGCGGTGTTCATGGTATCGTACGTCTCGTCCACATCGCCGGGCGACTGCTTGCCGATGCACGCAGCAGAACCAAGGATGAAGTCATTGTTGTAGTTGCCAAGACCGCAGAGACAGTAATTCAGCTCCTTGCTGTCAGCGCCAGTGCACGAGGCGTCGTCGGCGGCTTGGGAGAGACATTTCTGCGCGCCCTCGGGGTAGAAGTCGAAATTGTTGTCGAGAGCCAATGAAGGCGTTAGGAGGAGGAGGAGTGTGAACCAACGCGACGCCATGTTCGATGACAATGGGACTGGATGCGTGTTGTTGGTTGGCCTTTGAGGGAGACGGGAACCTGGTTTTCAGCTGAAAAGCCACCCCAACCAGGCTAATTATGCAAAACAATTGCTGATTGATCAATCATTCAGAAGCCGAGACAGATAATTACTTGAAGAGACAAAACATTAACAGTTCCCAGCTCGTATCGTAGCGAATGACAGAAAAGAAATGAGAGAGAATAACGAATGGTGATGTTTTTGTTTTAAATGTTCGATGGGATGATGCAAAAAAGAGGAGAAGGGAGGAAAAAAACAGGGGGGAGAAGAAGAACGGAATCGGGTTCTTGGGGGGGGGGTTTTAGTGTCTAAATTATCGGAACCTCTAAGAAACTATGACGGAATTAGTGGAATAGCACCTGCGACTATGAGCAGTTTGGTTTGGTCTGATTTAATTACACTGGCCGATCCTTCAGTCAGCACCAAACCCGTCTCAGCATCAGGCGTGAGCAGCAATCGAGGATCGACCCTCCCAAGCCCCATCCGTCCATGGCGCAGTAAATCGCCTGTAGGGAGCCCTGATTGGTGATTTTGGGGCTAATTTTAGGGATGCATCAGCCGGATATCCCTCAGCCGGGGGGCTCTGTGGCTTGTGTTGATGTCGGTTTCATGGTAGAAGATTTGAGTGTGAGAACCAAGATAATGTCAGTCCATCATGATAAACGGATGATATACTTATCCGTGGCAAGGATATTTATCATCTGAATTGGTCGATCATCAGTCACAGCCCTACCGAACTTCAAGGCTTGGCAAAAGCTTAGACTAACGTGAGGCGATCTCCAACGGATGGTAACGTTGTAGGATCCCAATCAATCAGCCTTACCTTTTCTCTGAGCTGAGCTGGCATGTGGGTTTTCTATGCATCCACCAGGATATTGCTTGACTCTCACAAACAAGGGTATCATTCTGCTTCTACGTTTCTCCATTTTTTAAAATACACCAAATTTCATATCTCACTTCCGCCCCGCCCCGTCTTACAATCGACTGAACACCTTGCCAAAAATCTCACGAGCCTTCAACAGGTTCAGCAGACATATCCGCTCGTTGTCCAGATGAGCAGAGTCGCTCGACTGTCCGCAAGGTAGATGAGCTGCAGGAGCTCCAAATTCTTTCTCCAAGAATCTTATCGCGGGGATGGAACCACCCTCGCGGATATAGAGCGGCTTACGGGGTTTGCCAAGCTTGGTCTTGACTGACAGAACCTCCTCCTCCTTGGACTTTTCTGCCTTCTCAGGATCTGGTGTAGCTTCGCCAGACGAGGGCGACGTTTCAAAACACTCATCCCATGTCTCCAGAATGGCCTTCTCCAGTGTCTGGAAGATAGCATTGGTAGGATCTCCAAGCCATGGTTCAGCTCTGTTGTCGACATTGATGGTGAGTTTGTTCTGTGACTCAAGCTGAGAAAACTCATTCTCAAGGAACTTGACGAGCGCTTCAATCACGCTGCCCACTTCTTGTCCTGGCACCATGCGCAGACTGATGTGGGAGCTGGCATGACTGCTTACTAGACTCCCATCAGGACCAGAAACCTTGTATCGGTGGAGTGTCAGATTGGGCTCACGCCACCTTGCCATAAGCGACTGTTTGAGCCTCTCCTCGGGGCCCTTTTCAGGATTACTGCGGATCAAGATCTGGGCAATATCATCGTAGCGCGCTTCCTCTTCAGGTGTCACCGGAAGAATGCCATCGTAGAAGCCGGGAATCTGTACCCGGTTGCCAGGGCCTTTGAGCTTGCCAAGGATCTGAGTGAGATCTGAAAGAGGCTCGTTCATCATGTAGGAGCCGTCGACACCCGAGTGGATATCCGGACGGGGCGCATCAACGCAGACAGTTGTGTGTAAAACACCACGTAGGCCGTACGTCAAGCACGGGACTTCGTCGTCTAACCAGTAACTGTTGGCAAGCAGGATGTAATCCACTTCGCCGATCAACTCTTTGTTCTTCTTGACAGCTTCCTCAAAGCCTAATGATCCAAACTCTTCCTCGCCCTCAATGAGGAAGATGACATCGTTCTCTAGTTGCTGGTTCTCCATCAGATCAGTCACTGCATACAGTGCAGCGATGATGGGACCCTTGTTGTCACTGACACCACGACCATACAGGTAACCGTTAGTTCCTTGCATCGTGAATGGATCAGTCTGCCATTTGCCTTTGCGGCTATCGGCAGCGACAACATCATAATGGCCGTAGAAAAGGATTCGCTTTCGTCTCTCAGCAGCCTCCTTCTTAGCTGAGAAATGGGCGTAGACGACAGGATTGTGGTGCTTCTCGGTGCTGAGTAGCTCAACGTGACCACCGAGACGTTTGAACAGCGCACCGAGGTAGGTAGCTCCCTTGCGACAGTCTTCTGCAAAATCGGGGCGAGAGGAGACAGTCTTGTATGACACAAATTCTCGCAGTGATGACAGTAAGAGGTTGTCTGAAGCCTGTGATACTTCTTTCTCTTTGCTGTGGCACTTATCGGTGTCTATGGACCAGATCGAGATATTATCATCGTTGGCACCGGTGATAAAGTATTGCTTGTTCTTGTAGTTGGTGACGGCCGATGCAAGGACCTTGCCCTGGTGAGCTTCCCATCTCAGGAGGCACTGATACTTCTGGGGAACGGTTCCAGAGGAGGCATGTTGGTATTTGCCGTAGTGGGTGGTACTGTATTTCTGGAAACTGTTAGCAAAGAGTTATACATGGTTGAAAAGAATACTCACGCTGGCCCAACCATTAGTTGCGGCAGTCCACAAATATCCCCAGCCCATTTGTATCGACATAATATCACAGTCGTGAGCCTTGATAACCCTCAAGCGCTGCGCGGTATCAAGATCCCACAATTCAACAATACCATCGAGTTTGCCAGCGTACAGAAACGAGCTGTCAAGTGCTAGAGACAGGACAGACTCGCCATCGTCGGAACCAAGTGTCATGATCTCTTGGATATCACCACTAAGCTCCTCGTCATCCTCAACAGTATGCCCAAGGCTCCAAAGCTTGATTGTACCATCACCAGCACCAGAGATCAAGACATCGTCGTCGGTTCCAACATCAACTGTTGGTCCCTTGGCCATGAGCATGCAGTACACATACCCATAGTGGGCAAAGTTTCTGACACAGCCTGCATGCATCTCGAGAACTGTGTGTGCTTTTGGTATCAATCCCCATCGATCGTCGTTTCGTCGAGGCGTACTTGCGCCGCCACCAACAGCTTTGGAGTCGAAGAAGCGATGATTTCGTCGATCAGGATGCTGCTGTGACTCGGGGGACACACGAGCTGTAACGTCGTTGAGGCCAACCCATTGAATGGTGGCGTTTTGTGCACCGATGTATAATGTCTCATGTTGGGGGCTGTATGCAGTACAAAAGATATCGCCGACATCGTAGGAGCCGTAAATTTCGTATAGTCGAGTCAAGGTGCTTGGGTCCCAGACATTGATGATGGGATCTCCAGCGCTGGAAAACAGGAGTGACGCATCGGGCGATAAGGACAAGGATAGGACACTACGCTTGTGGGCTTGAACGCGTCGGACTTGGCGGAATGTGTCGAGAGACCATGCTACAATCTCTCCGTCTTGTGTACCGGCGTAGATCGTCTCATGCTGTGGACTCACGGCGAGAGCGAGGACGGTGCTTGTATGGGACAAAGAATGGACGAGGTCGGGGCTTGTGGCGGGATCTTCAGGGGCTTCGAGCGGTGAGAGGATCGGAGATGAGGGACCTGGTGACATTGTAGGTGATACCGTCCGTGAAGGCATCGTGAGGGTGTCTGGAAGCAGCTTGTTAGCTTTGAGGTCGGAGCAGCGGTGGAGGATCTCGAGGGAGGGGCAGACAGGGGTCTCGAAGAAGAAGAAGGTATGCCGAGTGATTGTTTGCGACAAGGCAAATAAAAATGAAGAAATAGGTATCTAGCGCAAGGAACGCACTCTTGATTATCACCAACTCGAATACAACTATCTGTGGTGTTGTGGATAAGCAAGATAACAAGGAGTCAGCGCTGAAGCTCCAGTGCCGAGACCGCTCAGAAATTGGGCCAGGTATGACGCGATTGCGCAATCGCCAAATCCAGGGTCTCTCCCTATTCTCCCTTGCAAAAAGACCACGAAATGAATCAAAACTTCAAAAAAGCACAGACAAAGCCGCTGAGCCCGATTGTGTCATTTTTGGTTGAGCATTCGCAATTGAACACTCTAGAGTGTTGAGGTTGTCTCTCAATTGCTGGTTATCTTGGTCGAGTACGCCACAGCCTTTTGTCATGTTGGAGCGTTTATTGGATGATGGAAGAGTGCACAGCCACTTGGCCAGCCTTGCGGGATCAATAGCCACACGATCCGGTGCCCCCGTAAATCGGCACTAGCCTTTCGGGGAATAATTGTTGATTGTAAGTGAGAAGACGCCTGAAGACTTGCCCAAGACGTGATGGGAGTTCTGAGGATAGGAGAAGATATTTGGGTAGATATTGAATGGTATGAGTCACTCGACTTTGAGTACACGTTCGACAATGAACCAGCGATGAAGGATAATACTGGGAAAGAAGGGACATGGCTCCATTCATCTCAAGTGTCAACGATAGGTATGAGAGCAACACTTACCATCGTCAGAATTGACCAACAGCTCCACGGCCTGTCTCTTCTCATACTCCAATATCTTTGCACATCCCGTACAACCACCACCATTCATCGAAGAGTCAAACATGATCACAACGCTCATAACAGCAGGACAATAAAAAGGTCTTCAGACAAAAAGATCAATCAATTAATAGAGAGAAGGAATACAAGTAAGAAAAAAGGAGTAAGATAAGACAAGCTTCTGCTCCCCAACATAACATGAGGCAGGGTAACCAGGTGACCCGTACGACCTGTACTGTATGTATACGTGTGCGCGTCTCAGAGACAGACAGATACAAAGCAACAGAGAGACATTGGGCTGGCTCACCGATATTTTAGGCCACCCCTGATCCTGATCCTGATCCTGAG